CGAGTTATATGTAGGGGTCATGCAAATTGTGATGCGCTGCTTGGCCTGCTTTGCTTTGTTTCTACTTTTATGTGCACCCCTAGACTCCCCAGTGAGACTGTAAACCCACCAGCGCAGAAACTCTGCCTTCTTTTTATGCTGGAATCTCCAACGTCACCAAGTATCTGAGCACCAGTAGGTGCTGTGTGATAGATGATAATGAAGGTGATAGTCAAGAGCCCTGATCTGAAAGCCAGGGAATATTCTAGCAATCTCATTGGGAGTTTACACTGTGCTCCAGGAGTGAGGCCGGAGGTCAGTGGAGTTACCTGGTGTGGGAATAGAGTTCGTCTGTGTTTTCGGGGGAGTCCACGGAAGCCCTTCTCTGGTCTTCTCCAGAACAAATGCTCTGCCCTTGACTCGAGCACAGCAGCAGCCTCCCTGCCACCTGTCAGCGGATCGCTGCCAGGGTGTCATTGTACCCGGTGTTGTGAGAGGAAGCCCGAGTTAAATAAGGCCCTGGTGGAGTCAGAGGGGCCAGCAGAGCCTTTTCTTACCTGTTAATGAAGCCTCATGAGAAACAGCAAGAACCTGTGCTGAGAACTGGAAGCACCAGCCAGCCTTGCCTCTCGCTGCCAAAGGATGATTAATGTAATGATTTACGGCAGCTGCTCTTTGAGATTACAGAGCAGAGGAGACCAGAGAGTGCAGCCTGGCCCAGCGTGCGGGCTGGTGGAGACTCAGGGGAAAGGGATGGTGGTGCAAATCCATCCTCCCCTTCTTCTGATGGCTGAGACAGCTTCTAGGAGGCTCTGGAAAATGCATAGCCATCCAGACACAGAAGTACTTCCTTTGGATGGCTGACCTTTCAGGGCCCTCTGACTGTATGTAGGTGAGGGATTTTTGGTGTTAGCGGCGGGTGGGAGGGGGAATTGATCATAAGAAAGAGCTGAGTGCACAGTGCGTGCAACATAGCTAGGCCAGCCACACACTGTCTCTTCCGGGGAGGCCCTTGCACCCGGGGGTTAATTACAGGCACCCCTGGAGGGGTGCTTTGCTTCTCTTTCAGGCTTTCGTAAGAGTCAAGAAGGTTTATTTCATTTATGTTGGCCTTGGCTATTTGGAACCACAAACACTGAGGGAAGGGTGTCTTCACATGTGCCCATCGTGGACCCGCCCCCCCATCTGCATCAGACTTTATGAGGACAAAGACTCAGCTTGGATATTTTGGTCTGTCATTCTGTGTGACAGGTGGACTGACAGAAGCTTGAGGGAAGAATTAAGAAACTGAGGTTGGGCTTGTGTGCGTGTGTGTGCATGGTGTGGTTTTGGAGGCACTGGGAGCCTGTGTAGCACACACACAGGTGGTGGTTTCAGTTTTAATCAGAAGGCAGTAGAGTCTTGCCTGGGTAGGTGGCAGATGCAGGAACTATATTTGGCTGGCCCGGGCCCTAACCCTGGAAGAAAATTCTGAGGCGACAAGTGAGGTAAGCAACCACAACCTAATTAATCCCCCTCAGACTTAAGCTGCACTTCCCTTTAAACTGATTGTGAGGTGCTCTGCCAACAGCAGTGAGATGTGTGTCTGCACATAAATACCCTTGCGGAGCACATGAAAGAGGTCTGGATGCTTTGTGATGCCTGTAATTATGACACACGCAATAAAGCACCACGCCAACCCCCTCTCTAACAAGAATGTTGTTTTTGCCCCAAATTGTGGCAAGCTTGCATGCCTTGAGCACAACTCTTGCCCAAGTGGTGCATTTACATCATAAACCCAAGAGCAGCTGATCGTTGGGTGGCGAGGGAGATGGCATCATGCTCAAGGAACCTTGCAGAGCCTTCAAGAATGGCTCCATGAGCAAAGGCCAGGCAGGTCAAGTGATACTGAGACAGGCTAGTAGGCCAGGGCTAGTGGAATAGGGAAACCGAGACGGATAGGTAAACGGCCAAGCAGTTTACAGCCATCTAGGAAATCTTATCTTCCTGAAACCAAGGACACTTGGTGTGCACTCCTCCTCCACAACCAGAGGATAAACAGCTTAAATCAGCCTACTCAGGGAGATAGATAGCAGAAACCCAATTACTGCCATTTCACAACCACAGCCAAGGACACGTGAAGTTAAGGGAATAAATCTCATTTTGGTGCGTCAGCGTAAAGCCAATGAGTACTCTATTGAGATATTCCCCTAAGATCTTCCCTAAACCCCCAGGCTTTAAAACCCTTGAGATGAAGGACCTAGCAGGACCCCTCCCTCCCCACCCATCCCCACAGGCCTGCATCTCCTAAACTCTGAGGGACCCATGAGGCTTGCAATCAGGGGAGCAATGGGCAGCAGCACCTTGTACTGGCCTAACCCTCTGGATCTATTTCCAAGGCCCCCTCTTCTCTGACTTCCCAATGAGCTAAAGCAACCCCGCCTTGGCTCATTTCTTTCCTGCAATATATCTAGAGAACCAAAGCAGCCCTGCCTAGGCTCTCCTGTTGCTTCTTTTATGCTAAGCCCTTCCTTGTTTGACTGTCCCCAGCTTTAATAAATGTCTTTTCAAAATCACCTGGCCTCATGTTGTGAAACTGTTCTTGCACCAAGTCAAGAACCCACACACTTACAGAGGGCCCAATGCAGACTCACTCGGGGGCCAGGCCGCGTTTCTGGTAACAATATCTACCTCCATCCGATAGCGAGTTGAACAAGGTGGGCAGGCTGGAAGCCACACACAAAGCATTTATTTGGAGAGAGACAGGGAGGTTGCTTGAGCTACAGACTACTTAAATTTAAGTCAGCAAAACCCTCTCTCTCCACTCCCAGGAAGCTTTTCAGCACAAGCTGAATCAGCCAGGAAATCTAGCAGGGAACCCAGCTTGGGGTGGGTGGGGAATGGATGGGGGTGTTTGGGGTAGATGGAGAGTTGGGGAAAGCGCCTCAAGAAACTTCACTGGTCACTTGGTGAGGAAGGTAGCATTATCTTCATGAAAAGAGAAAGTTTCTCCATTAGCTGAAACAAACAAACAAAAACACATTTGAGTGAGAGAAGCCATGGGTGATGAAAATTAGTATAGAGATCACAGTAAGAGTGTAGGAAAGTAAGTGCCTCGTGGAAAGAGGTTGGCCTTTGGCACCAGACAACTTGGGTTTCAAATCCCTGCTCCAGGGTCAGTAGCTGTGTGACCTCGAGCAAACGACTTAAGCTCTGAGGCTTTGTGTCTTATCTGTAAAATGGGAATAATGATGTTGTCCTGGCAGGGTTTCAGGGAAAATGAAGATAACAAAGACTTTACAACTGTGCAGGCACTCACTAAATGGTATTATTATATTCTTGAAGTAAATTCAGCCTAATTTTCTGCTTTTTGTATATGTTTAAAACAAATGTGTGTATTCCGATGTCCATAGGCATCTAAAAAACTAGCTTGGTTAGAAACATCTAACTTTTATAATCGACAGCAATCAATCCAATAAAAAGACAGCTGGAAAAGAGGTTGATGACACGTTTTCCATTTGAATGGGGGAAGGGCTAGGTTGCTTCCACGCGGCTCTCTCGCTTTCCGAGGAAAGGGGTGGATGTTACAGAGGGCATAGCAGAGCACCTGGAGAACTGGGTGGTCACGGAAAACCCTTCTGCTCTGGGCCTTTGTACAATATTTTTTGCTGGAATCATGGGGGTTGGACTATATAATCACCAAGTTATCTCTTAGAACTGATAGTCTATTCCTTATTCAATGCATGGTGGGGAAGGGACCTTGGAGGGAGACATGATGACATAGAATTATAATAGAATAAAGGCTTGGGTTTCCTTAAAGAGCTGGCAAGGAACTAGTCCCAAGACTCAGGCATTTGCTCCTGGAATCCTTGCCCATTAAGAAAGACTGCATACATACATCTATGTATATATGTGCATATATACACATGTATACCTGCATAAACACTATATGTCATTCCTACCCCTTGCCTCTAGCTAAAAAAGGGCTTCCCCAGCATCCCTTGCAGGTAGGTATGGCTAATGAGATCGGGGATAGTCCATTGGAGGACTTCTCAAAACATTTTTCCTTCACTGTCTGATAAAGAAGTTACCCAAGGAAAGGCCCTTTTGCCACCTTCCCTTCCTTCCCTCTTCTTGTCTTGAAAGAGAACATGGATTCTGGAGCTGTGGTAGGCATTTGGCAACCATGGGTGACAAGGATGAAGACAAAAAGTCAATGCATCGGGGATGGCCTATCAGAAAGATGAAAATATTTGGGACCTTAATGAAGCCGTTGAGAAGCCTTAGACCACCTCATTTCTGGAACTCTGAAATGCACATGATTTATGTCTTTGCTGTTCACAGCATGGTCTGTGGGCCAGCAGCTCAGGCATCACCTGAGAGTTTTGTTAGAAATGAAGAATTTCAGGCCCCAGCCCAGACCTACTGAAGTAGAATCTGCATTTTAGAGAGATGCCCAGGTTTTGGGTGTTATGGGTGCACATTAAATTTCAGGCACATTGATTTGTAGCCCCATTAATTAGGCTCCATTACATGCAGCTGAAAGCATTCCTAATCGATACCATGTATGTACAGTAAGCCCTCATGTAACATTGTCAATAGGTTCTGGGAACTATGGTGAAATGATGTATAATGAAACCAATTTTACTACAGAACAATTGATGTACATAAGCTCCCACAGCATGTTATCAACATTATAATGAAGAAATGAACTAAATGAACTTATTCGAGAACCTGCTGCACTAGGTATGTATGAATACTTACAGGTATGTCTATGTGCCCATATCTTTTCATATGATTATAAGCAGGTGTACACACACATGTGTACATGCATATATAATATGTTTGTTTATATATTTGTGCATATATGTATGCAGGGATAGAAGAATCCTGGGAGGACAGAGTTAGGCTATGGGACTGTGTGTGTGTGTTGGGGAGTTTGGGGTGATTTCTTCTATCTTCATTACTTCTAAGTGTTTGAAAAAAATAATTTTTTAAACCAATGAGTTGTGCTCCTTTTATAATTAAACAAGAAAAGAGACTTACTCGCTCTCTGCCCTGTCCAGCAGGGCATGGCAGGACACCAGGTCCCTCTGCAGCTGGCACCTGTGCGCCAACAGATGCTCGCGGACCTGCTGCTGCTGCTCTGCCTCCGCGCGCAACTCCTGGAGCTCCCCCTCCAGCCTGCCGACCACAGTGCCCAGGTTCTGAAGCTCCAGGTCATGCCAGTGCTTGGCATCATGCAAGGTGTTCTCCAGGCCTCGTTTCTGCAAGAGGGAATATGTCCAAACTCAAGGCGGACAGGCAGGGTCCTTGGAGAGGGAGGTGTGTAGAGCAGTGGGAGGGGCTGGCATTGGTCTGATCAGTCCATTTCTTCAAGGACAGTGACTGTGCTAAGCTTATATAGCCTGGTGTGGAAATAATGAATCTTCCTCAGGAGGCCAGACTCTTGGTTAGTCTAATTCACTGATTGTTCTGATGGGGGCGGGAGTGGGAGTGTGTGTATGGGATGTGGGGGGCGGTGAGGGGAGTAAAGGAAGGAAGAGAAGGAGGAGAGAAAAGGGGATAGAGTGATGAAATATAAGAATGAAAGATGAGTGAGAAAATGAGAAAACAATGAGAGAGAGGGAGAAATTCTCACACACACACACGCATGCAGAGGCAGTTTGCAGGTGTTTCCTTCAAAGAAATCTTGCTCTCTGAGTGGCCTCTGGGACTTTTTGCTCCGGTTTTTTCACCCCTGGGGGTGGGGTGTTCCTTTCCCTTCCATTGCTGAAACCCCATCCATCATTCAGCTAAAATGCTGTCTCCTCTGGCATTCTTTCCCAGATGCAAGTTAGAATGAATGTCTCTGGCTTTTCTATAATCAGCATTTTTTTCTTTAGTGTTTTAGGTGCACATTTTGGCTAATTCCTCTTCCTCTGGCTGCCCCTTCACTGCGGGCTCCCCACCGCCCCATCCTGAGCCTGTTCTCTCTGTGCCTCCGGGGCCTGTGTTCATTGGTCTTTACCGCTCTCATGATTTGAGTTATCTCTCGGCCAATGACTCCTGCGTTGGTACTTCTAGCACAGACCTCTCTCCCTACCCACTATCGACCGGCTATGACTTCTTGCTAGAAATATGTACAGTCCAGGGCACCTCAAATCAAGGCGTCCAAAATGGACCCATTGTTTTCCCCTTGGACCTGCTGGTCTTTCCTATTTTGTGCATCAAAAGGTGAACTCATGATAACCAGAAACTGGGGAGACATGTCCCTGATCTCCCTTCCCAAATTCAATCATTACTGAATCCTGTCTCTTGAATATTCTGAAAAGTTTTCCCATTTGTGCCCTCTCTTCTCCAGTCACCAATATCCAGGATCGATGCTCATCACCTCTCATCTAGGGCAACCTCATGGCCTCTTAGCTTGTCTTTCTGCCTCTCATTCCTCCTTTGCTGAGGTGATGGGGCTCTGTTGAAAGTCCAGATCTGGGCCTGTATCTCTTCTGCTGTAACCACATCTGGAAGGTCCCTAACATGGAACACATGATCAGCCCAGCATCTTTCCATTTTCACTCCCTACCTCAAAGTGGTGAACCCATCTAGTCTTTAAGTAAATTGGGGTCATGCCGTTTCCTGCATCTGCATCATCCTCCATTCCTTCTAGCGTCTCACCTGCCTGGCTCCTACTCATCCCCACGTGGAAGCTCAGGGGCCACCCCCCACCCTAGAAAGCCTTTCTTGACACTCCCTTGCCCCTACCACCACCAAGCTGGGTTAGGGGCCCCTCCTCTGGGTTTCCATGGCTGCCTGAGCACATGCGTGCCCTTGAATTTATGAGAGTGGGCTAAGCTTCTTAGGGGCATGTGTCCTCTATCAGACAGTGAGCTCTTTGAGAGCAGGGACCAAGTGTCTGAAACCCCAATGACAATACAGGGCCTCACACAGTGTAGATATAGATGCCTGTGTGTGTAGGTTGCTCAGGACGACAGCACTTGTGTTCTGTACGCTTATTGCCCTATCTATCTGTCTCCCCATTAGCTGGAAACTTTCTTCTCATCTCGCCATATACCATACCCTGCAAACTGTTGGGCTGACCATAAATGCCTTTAAAAAACTGTGTGCATCTGTCTAACATTTTTAATAGCTGCAGCTATGGTGAACCTATAATTTAGTATCTGGCTTTTTATATAACACATAAGAAACACATAAATATCTTTCTAAATTGGATAGAGTCAAATTTTGCTGAAGCAAATTCCTGTACCCTGATGCCAGAGAGGAGATTTTTCATACCCTTTTGAGCACCGTGGCTGAAATGAAAGATTCTTGGTTATTAATGTCGTCTTGAATCATGGCGGTTGTTAGGTGGGGGTCACCATATTATCTTATTTAAACCTTAATTCCATAGGATATGAGGATGTTGAGTCAGATTCCCATCCCAGGTACATTTATATGTAGCAAACTGTGACCTATAGTTGAATAAATATATATCAGTAACTCGTCTAAGGGTATTATTTTGCTGGTGGGATCTGGGAGCTCCTCCATGACAGTGAGGATGCAGAAATGGCCACCTAGACTTTGAGAATTATTGTTGTACCCCACGCCCCACCCCCTGGGTTTTCTCCCTTTGTTTATCAGGAAATTGCTTGGTTTAAGAGTAGAGGTTACTGACACTGGACCTGTAACACCTGTGATTTGGAAGAACATTTTGCGGAGCCATGGTTGAGCCATCTCTTTATAGTATTGGATCCATGTTCAGAGGGGACTCTTCCATGTGGCCTAGGGTTTTTCTCTGATGACTCAGGGCCCACTGCCCAGGGTGGGCTCCTGGGAACCCCCGTCAGAGCCTCTCTCCTCCCACCCTCAGAGACCAAGCCCAATTTCGCCACCCGAGCCCCCGCCATCCTGGCCTGGTTCCCACAGAGAGGCTTGAGTCTCGGCGACTGTGACCAGGCCACTGCTGCGGGGGTCCTAGCCTTGGCCCACCAGGCAGCCCGTGTAGCACCAGCAAGCAAACTGGGATCGCAGGAGCACACCTACTCCCCAGTTTATGGAAATGTGAATGGATGCCTTGAGTTATAAACCCTTCAGAAAGTAAAACGGTGACCTTCTGTGATTTCTGGTCTAGAATTCCTGACCTGAGTTGACGAGACATAGAGTTAGTGCAGAGTTAGCGGGCCTCAAGCACTATTGTTGGTGCCTGGCTGCCAACATAAACAGTGCTTTGTTGGAAAAGAGGGCCGGATGTCTCATCAGCGTGGCTTCCTGCGGCTCACATATGCTGCGGGGGCCTTGTGTGTGCCCAGGCTGCTCTGAGTGAGGAGAGCAGGGGGGCTGGATGAACTCTGCCATATTTGAAAGCTATAGGAGGTGCGCTACCTATTCTGGCTCTGTCTGTGCTCCTAACCTTGGCTACAAGGCCCAGGGACCACAACTCTGATCTACTGGAGCCAGAAGGGGGCACAGGCATCCTGTCCTGGGTCCTAGGCATGGCTAGCATGTCACTACACCCAAGTCTCTGGTTGTGGGTGTGAGCTCTTTTTCCATTTGTTCCAAAAGTCAGGACCATGGGTTTAAGTTAGGTGGCCAGATAGTGCAAAGCTGGGGTTATTCTCCTAGTGGTTCTAATATTAATGCTAGAGTGATAATTAATAATGCCACTTATTGACACCTCACTCTGTGCCAGATACTGTGCTAAGGGCTTGCACTTTCTTATTAATCAGCCCAATGGCTTTATAAGGTAAATCCTGTTACGGTGCAGGGCCAGGTCACAGTTCCAAAGGCAGCTGCGACAATGATCTCCAGCCCACATGCTCTTTCTCTACGAGCCATTGCCGTGGCCCCATTGAGAAGTGGCGTTTCTTTCTCTTCCTGTTGATTCTGGACTGGTCTTGTGACTGCTCCGGCATTAGCGTGCTGTCTAGGTGACTTTCAGGGACTTTCCAGCCCAGTTCTTGAGAGAACTAGTAGTTTTCGTGCTCACACTCTGACAGGAGCCAGACGCCATGTCAGAAGTCCAACTATGCAGGACTCCCAGGCCGTGGGGAAGTCAAAGTCAGCTACACAGAGGGGCCACATGGAGAGAGAGAAAGAGACGCACAGCTGAGGCACCAGATGTGTGAGTCGGAAAAGCCATTCTTGGATGTTCTGGCCCCAGCAGATGCTCCGTGGAGCAGGAAAAAAAAATCTCTGCGAAATTCTGCCTAAATTGCCTTAAGCCACTAACACAGCAGATACATATAAATAGATCCTTGCTTTATAAAAAGGGAGAAAATGGAATTATAGAGAGGCCACACAGCTTGTGAGCAGAGGAGCCAGGGTTCGGTCCCAAAGTTTCAATGCCAGTCCTCAGTCCAAGAGGGCGGCCACGGTCTCGGACAGAAACAGAGCTAGAAGGGACTTGGCTCCTCCACTTCTTCGTGTTAATGGGAAACCCCCTGAGCCACAGATGTCTCACTTGCAGAATGGTTGATAGTCCCAGTCCGGCCCACTTCTCAATGTTTCTACAAGGAGCCGGTGAGAGAATGTGTATGAGGAAGTTCTTATTACTATTGGTATTGCTTTGAAGAAATTTTGTTTTGGGCACTGTACCAAGTGATTCAGGGACATAAAGTAATTACACATGGTCCCTGCCCTCAAGCAGTTAATGTGACTTCAGTGGATGAGCTAATTTTACCACAGGCAGCGCCCTGAGTGTGTGTGGGTGACAGGTGGGAGAGGTCACCCAGCTGTGGGAGTCAGGATCTACGTTTCTCAGTGGATGTAGCGCTTCAGTGTTTTCAGGTCCCCTGTGCCAAGGGTGTGAGGAGACGAGCAGGTAGAGGTGGGTGGGCTTGTGGGGAGGTGTCCCTTCCAGCCATGGGGAGGACATGTCCAAGGGCTCAAGGGTAGGAAAGCAAAGGACGAGTTCTGGACATTAAAATGAAGCCTGAGCTGGGTAGTACTGGAAGGTCTGGCAAAGGAAGGCTTCTGTTGTAGGCCAAGCCCAGGCAATTCCCAGGACTGGGGACACTGAAAATGCAGATGAGAGGGGACAGTAGATGGAGGAATGTCCAGATGGTGCAACATGAGACAGCTAGAATCTATTGAGGAAAGAGACGGTAGATAAAGCTTCAGAGATGTTTTGAAGTGGTAAATGGAAACCTGAGATCTTGTGTTGAGGAACCTTAATTTTATCTGCAGAATAATACAGGTGGCAGCATCTGCTGAGGGACAGAGGAGGGGTGTGCCGGGGCTCGCTGAGAATGGGGACAGCTGGGAACAGCTACGCTGAGGGACACAGCACCCCCCTGCTTTGTTCAGCTCTTTGTGTAGAGGTTTTCTCTACCAATCAAGGCCTGAGCTTTTGGAGGACAGGAACCTCCCACTCCATATTTGCCTCCCAGGATCTAAGGGAGGGCTTTGCACATAATAGGCGCCCAGTATATGTGTGTGGAATGCATGCTGAGGGATGGGCCACCCGCCACTTAGGAGTAATTCATCTCGGCTCTTTTGATGGTGTGGCCTTGAGAATATGTTCTCATCCTTTTGCCTGAAATTTTCTGTTACAAGAAGAGTGACCATTTTGGCATCCACAAGGATATCTGCGGAAGAAATGGCAGCCTCTTCCTGTGCCTAAAGCTCAGAGGGGAAAGGCAGCACCCCTAACATTAAGATGTTTACCAAGGGTTATGGCAAGTGAATGAACTGATGAGCATAAAATTCACATAAATAATGCCATCTCTTTTAGATTTTTTTTTAAAGTGAAAGTGTGGAACAGCATTGCTTTAAATAGTAGTTTCCTGATCTTTCTCACCTCAGATCCTTCCTCGCACCCACTTGCTCTGACCCAGATCCCATCAGAGAACGAGTGGGGCGGAAGGGGAGCAACGTGGTGCAGCTCACGTGCGGCAGGAGGACTGCGCCTCCTCCCTGAGCTGACGGGGCCCTGCGTGACCTTGCTGGCTGGAGGACAACGGACCTCAGTGAACTGAAGACACATGAAGGAAGGGAACTGGGGGTGATGGCATGACCTTAACAACAGGCCGAGATAACGTCGTTTCTGAGGCGGGCCGACGAGGACTAACTTCATGGCAGGCTGTGGCTGCAGCGGGAGGCGGGGCTGGTGGTTTGATGATGGGACTGATTTGGGTGGCAAAATTGAGATGCAGGTTTATGGGGTGTGGTGGACGAAAAGCGCGCTAACATTGGTATCCGATCAGCCCCGGGGACTTGAGGCTGATGGGAGAGAAGGGCTTTCTTGGGCCTCAATGGACTTTGGGCCACTTCAGCAGTACACACGACCCCCTGCAGGGGGCGTCCAGGAGGGCTGTGCTTGACAATGTAACAACTTTAGGCCGTCCCAGAGAGCAGAGAGCTGTATTATTAATAATCATTTTAATTAATTATAATTAATGATGCAATCGATCCCCCCACAAACCACAGTGAGCCTGAGGAACTTACTAGATGTCTTAGGTTGTGTGCCCCAGAAACAGAGCCTTAGACAGGGATCCTGGTACAGACATAATTAAGTGGTTTCCCTCAGGAAAAGGGGGAGCAAGGAGCGCATGACAGGGCAGGGAAGGTGATAAGCCAGGAGGTGGTCACAGAGGAGCCTGGCTACAGCCTGATCCCATGGAGCCTCCTGAGGGTGAATTACTCCGTGGGGACAGTTCCCCTTTGACGCAAATGAGCTGGGCTTTTAATCCCCCTGTGAGTGAGTCACTGGCTGGGAAGGTGGAGGGGCCTGACCTCCCGAGGGCAGGTGTCTTCTGTTTGGCTGAGGGCAATTCTCTGGAGAAGAGGGGCAGCTGAGAAGGGGCCTCTGTGGGCACGAGCGGCCAGCATTCACGGCAGCCCCCTGGTGAAGCGTTCCTCGGCTGGGCACGCGCTGTATCTACCACACTTTTGATTTGGTATCAAGTAACCTTCCAGGCCTCAAACTCCTACTGTGAGATGGAAGACCCTTGCCCGTTGTGACCCGTAGGATTACAGTTCAATGGTTGAGAGTTAAAATTGTCACCAGAAATGCCAGGTGGCTTCCTGGCCCACTCACCAGGGCCCGCAAGGACTCCGTCTCAGCCTGGAGGCTCTGCACTTGGCACGAAGTGTTGTGTAACTCCGCCCTGAGGGCGGCAGCCAGCTTCTCTTCCTGGGTCTGGGCCCCACGGGCCGCCTCTGCCTGCTGCTGTGGAGAGCGAGGTCCTGGGTGAGCAGGGTGAGTGGAGAGCCTGGAGCCCTCCTTCCCCTTATTGTTTCTAATGACCATGCCACTGCTTCTAACTCAGAGGAAACAGCTATTAGACTTAAGAATTCCTTTTAGTATAGGTGCCCACATCAGCTTGTATAGAAACATTCATTTAGTTTGAACAAATAAAGCATGCCAATAGAATGAAGTTCAAAAGATTTTCTGAAGAATATATGGTAGAGCCCTGGCCAGGTGGCTCAGTTGATGGGAGTATCATCCCATACACCAAAGGGTTATGGGTTCGATCCTTGGTCAGGGTATATGTCTAGGTTGTGGGTTCGATCCCTGGTTGGGGCGCTTACAGGAGACAACCAATAAATGATTCTCTCTCACATTGATGTTTCTCTCTCTCTCTAAAAATCAGTAAACATATCCTTTGGTGAGGGTTAAAAAAAAGAATATATGGCAGAAAGTATATCAAATCCTTTTTTTCCTGTGCTCTAATTACTTAGTCCTCCCGTTTCCAGTTTTTTTATACCTCCTTCCAGAAATATTTCATATAAATATTTATAAAGAAAATGTATGATCATCCCTCTTGCTTTGGTACTTTATTGTAGAAATTATTCTAGTATAGCAGCTTATATACATCAATTACATTCTTTTACATAGTATTGCCTTGTTTGGAAGACCTATGATTATTTAGAAGTCCCCCAATGATGGACTGCTGCTTTCAGTCTTTGCCTGTTACAATTAATGGTGCAAAGAATAACCTACATCCCTCATTTTGAGTACATGGGAATATCTCTGGGGGGTAAGTTCCTGTTCTGGAACTGCTGAATCAAAAGTGTAGGCATTTGAAACTTTGATGAATGCTGCCAAATGGCCCTTCAGAGAATTTGGAACTCCTTCCAGCACTATAAGGCAGTGCCAATTGCCCCACCTTCTTCAAATTAGTAGTTAACAAACTTGATCTGATAGTCCCCGTTTCCTTGAAAAAACATGTCTGGCCACAGTTGTGACTATTAAGGGGAAGGTCTGTGTTTCGAAACTTCTTCCTGAGCAAGATGGACACATTCTGATTCCTCCCCATACATCCAGGGGAGCAGGTCATTGTTACTCCTCCCTTTGCTGGGGAAAAGGGAAAAAAAATGAAAGATCGCCCTCGTATACAACTTCAGTCCAAGTCTGACGGCATGTCACCGAGCCAGTGATGTAGGAGGAAAAAAACTGCTTTGTCTCCTAGGTTACTGGCTTGTTGAATTGACCATTTTTATTACATATGAATACTTATTGAATATGCAAAAACAGTCCAATCTAATCGACTGGCTCAGAAAACCCCAAGTCAAAAGGCTTACAGCTCAGTAGTAGTTCTTCCAGCTCTCGCTGTTTGGAAGGTGTAAGGAACTCAACATAAATGCCCCCTAAATGCCTGGGATCAGCTGGAGGAAAACAGAAGCTGTGGACCCAGCTCCAAATGGTCAGCCCATGGCTGTGTTTCCCTGGGCCATCACTCAGCCTCTCTGCGCCCCGTCCCTGCCCACAGAATGCAGATAACAGTGAGTGGTAAATGATAATCATACGATGACTATCCCCCGAATCACTTGAGGCTTCCGTCAGGTTATGCATGTAGAAGCTTTTAGAACCATAAAAGCATGCAAATATAGGCTGTATATGCTTTCTATATGTAAAAAGTGGTATCAGCCAATAAATGTGTTTGTAAAAACCACTGTGAGTAGAATACTACTACTGATAACTACTAAGGATAATATGTGTGAAGCACTTACTCTGCGCCATGTACTCTGTTAACAGCTTTTAGTCCGTGATCTCATTTAATTTTTACAACCCTATGAAGTAAGTGTCCTTATGATTCACATTTTACATGAGGAAATTGACAGGCTGAGTTCTTCTTCAAGGTCATATGGCCTCAGGGGATGGAGCCGGGACCCAAGAGCAGCAGCAGGCCCCAGAGCCGCGCTCCTAACTGGAGTTTAACGCTGCCGCTTCTACCAGTCTCAGCTTAAGGCCCTGAAATTGGAGTTGTCATCCCCACCGTGAAGGTGGATCACTCTAAAACATCCTCATTGTCTGCCAAGTCCTCCCGTGATCAGTAGCCCTGATTTTCCTTCTCTCTTTGGGGCTGGACCTGGCCAGAGGGGCTGTGTGGGTGGGTGGAGACAGGAGAGGGGGTGCCCTGACAGGCAGATGGAGTCGGGTGGCACAGCCTTAGTGGCACAGCCTTAGGGAGCGGCCAGCGGCAGCATGGGCTGGGGCCGGCTCCCAGTGGCTTACGAGAGCCGTGTGCTAAATTGTCAGGAATTTTGTAAGCTGGTTGTTAAACACAGCCACTGTTAAAAATTAAATTATATCAGCTCACAATTAAATAAGTTATATTAAAAATGGTAATAAGTACTCAAAATGCAGGGCTTGCTGTTTATTTACATTTATCATTATCTATGCTGTTGCGTTATTTACATGGATGTCACCTGTGTGGTAGAAATAAACGGTGTGTCCCTGCCCAACTGTCCCCAACTCTGTGTTCATTCGCATCAAGCTAGTAGTTTGAAATCAGTATTGACACCATGAATTACTATTTTATTGATTGTCCAGACTTAGGAAGGGATGCAGAAAGTGTTAATAATGCAGATTAAACTTAAAGGTCGGTGTCTGTAGCTGTCGCATTGTGAATAGCACAAAAATTAGAAGGAATATTCTTCCAATATTTGAAAACTATTATCTGATTTGTAAAGAAGTTACATCATTGATGAATGAACTCATTAAGGCCAACAAAAATACCAACCAAAATTTGCATCAGAGTTATCCTCATTCATCACGGAGGGACTTTTTGTATAATCAGATATTAATAATCAAACATTTTTCTGTAGTCTGATTTTGTGACACTATTGTTGATGGCAGAATTATAAAAATGGTTGGTGGCTTTTTGCAAGAAACAGCAAGTCACACTGAATTACAAGGTGCAAATGGAAAGGCAAAGTATGTATTTTATCTTAAAATTTATGTTATTTCTAAAATTAGATAAATAAAACATGAACAGAAATTCTCTATCACTTTCATGTGGTATTGTGAATTTGACTGACATGCAAATTCATATGCTTACATTTCCCCCCACCCCAAGAGCAGTTATAAAATGTTGCAGGGCACCATGGGTAAGAGCCGTGAGTGAGTGGAGGCCAAGCCCCATGGAGGTCATGTTTCAGAGCCTTGGTCAGTGGGTCTGAGCTAAAGTTGCTGGCCAAGGCTATGATCTGTCTGTCTTTCCCGTCAACCCACATAATGAGTGGCTTGTATTCCGTGGGGACACACTGGTGTTTGGAGGGACGAATCCTTATGTCTTAGTTTCATTAGCAAAATGCTAATTTTCTCCCCACTGTTCTTGGACAACCAGCATGGCTTCTCACATACCTGCATACTAATTCAAACTATTTCTAGTCAAACCAATTCCCTTTTTCTTTGTAAATAAATGTGTATAAGATAGAAACTGTAGATTCGTTCTCAAATTTTAATGTGCATCAGTGTCATCTGGGGGAGCTTGTGAAAGTGCAGGTCCTGCTTCAGGAGATCCTGAGGGGCCCAGGAATCGACCTGTGAAACTGTCACATGATGTCTGGTCCATGGAAGCAAATTTCTAGGTTGCTGCAGAAACCGAAAGAACTGCTTTACTTGCTGCAGCAAGAAGATAACTGAAAAATTAATAAACTTAAAACAGATCAATGTTATTTTATTTTAGCAAATGGTACCTGCCAAGCGGCTGACTCCCAAAGCCTTCTCTCTCTTTGTTGAAAGGTGAGATTAACAAGTACAAGAGAAGTGTTAATAACCTACCAGCATGAAATGGAAACGTTCTTATACACTTTAAGAGTGAAAGAGAAAAAGAAATTAATTTGATGACAATGAATTACATTGCCATTTTATATCATGTCTCCTACTTTCTGAAAGCAGCTGATCCCATACTTGCCCTTCATCTGGGAACACCTAGGTGTTTGAACTCACCTAAATGAATTACATGTTCTTCTCCAATGGCTTTTTAGATTTACGCTTTCTAGCTATTGCATTACCTCTATTTCTGTTTCCATTTCATCCCAGTTGCCTCCAGATCTCTCCTCACAGATCAAATAGTGGGTGTGTGATTTTTGAGCCCAAGGATAGGAGACAGGATTATGTTCTGTTGCTAGGATGTGTAACGAGATTCAAATATGTTAGTCCCCCTCTTTCCAACTGGCTTGAAATCTTGGCTTCACTGTGCAGGGGCTGGGCTGCCCGTGGCTGCACCCCACGTATATTTCTGGGGCAGGAGAGCACGTGGACATTTTGAAATGTGATAAACATGTTCAAATTAAAATTTTTTTAACTTCAATTTTCATGTGACTGCCCGCGAAGGATGGATGTGAGAGAAGAAAAGCCGCATGCTTTTGAGTAAGTCAGAACGGACTATTTGAGAGTTTCCAAATGGAGGGGAAAATGCCATCTCGAAACCCAACCCCCTTTTGCTCACTCTCATTGCCATTCCTCAGAACATCCTTGGCAATGACCTGGAGTTGGAAGAAATGCCTCTCTGTAGCGTGAGGGGAGAGCGTAGGAGGAGGCAAAGCATGGAGAGCCCCGGAGCAGGTGTGTTCTGTGTTCTGCGTTTCCCTGAGCAGTTGCTGTGCGGGTCTCAGCAAGTCATTCTAGCTCTTAGGTTTTCGTAAGTGGTGAAAGACTGCTACGTTCTGCTGCAGAGTGCACCTGAGACCTCCCAGGATCCTACTCAGCTCGTTACGTTCGTTATCATGGAGAAGGGAAAAGCAAGATTGGGACCTGGAGTCGCAAGCTGGTATCACAAAGGAATCTTATCTCACAGGGAGGCACAGAGCCTTGGTTTGGAAAGCGCCTAACAAGCCTGGTGTAACCTTTTAGCCCCTCAGGATAGAGGCCTCCCAACTGCACATTCCACAAGATGTCCCTTGCTCATTCTTAAAAAATGTAAAGTAAGAAAAAGAATCACCGCTCCCCACTCCGTGTGACCTGACCAGGTCAGCCTAGCAGGTGGGGGTGTCAGTCAGGGAGGAGTATCTAATAAACCTGACAGGCTCAGTGCCCGAAAGTAACCTCCCAGGATGGTTTGATCATAAATCCCCCAACTGGGCAGGCCTTGGTGGCTAGTCACGCCCCAGGCTTGTAACTTCCTTAGTAAAAGGTTTATTTTTGTTTTAAGCCCTGTCCCTTGTTCTTGTTCATCTAGCTTAACAGCCCTTTGAAATACCAAAGTAATCCTTTTTCCTAGTCCCCTTCCCAGGCTAACTGCCCTCATGGGAGCACACGACATTGTTGCCCCCTGCACACCATCTCCATTTGCGGTAAATGTTCACTGTTAACTATCCTGTACTCACCACTGTAAAAGAAGGGTGTACCTCTCCATTTTACTTTTTATCCAGTCATAGAGATTTCCTCACCTTGCTTTGCCCCACCTCCTTAACTACCACCAATGGATTTCACATACTCTTCCTTCCTTCCCTCCTGATTCCAAATGCATAAAAAAGAACAGGAGAACTGCCCTTTTCCAGAGCATTTCTCAGTCCATTGAGATCTTTCTTCAGGGCATGTCCTCAGTTTGGCTCAGATAAACTCTTATGAAATTTTTCTATAGGTTTGGACATTCTTATGTCAACAGTAAGAAAGTATGGTTTGAATCATAGCTCTGCTGCTTTCTCAACTAAGTGACCTTGGGTAAGTTACTTAACCTCTTTGTGCCTCAGTTTCCTCCTCTGTAAAATGGATTAAATCACAATACTATCTCATATGGGGAAGATAAAATGAGAATGTGCCTGTCAAATACTGTTTACTGCCTGGCACTTGAAAAATGCTCAATAAATGCTTTGCCAATACTGCTTTCATGGCACATCCCTTTCTACCTTGTAGAAGATGATCTTTCTATCCATCGCCTGCCACCTCCACCCCAGCCAAACTCCAGATTAGATTGTGGATGCCCTGTCCTCAGGGATGACTTCTTTGTCACCTCCTCTAGCCTCCCTAGGGACCTAACATGGCTTTTTATACACAGTACATGCTCAAAAACATTTATTGAAGGTCTATGAAGTATGTCAGGCACATGCTAGAGACCAAAGAAGAGGAGGATCTACCAGGAATGGAATTAAATCACATCTCCTTTTCATTAGGAGGATTCGCTCTCATTATTATAACAATTATAAGCCACTTCACACTCATTCGGCGTCATATAAATGTTATTTAACTAAGGATAGTTCTTTACAGCCAGCACACCCAACCCTGACCTTCCCCAGCCAGAGGTAGCATTTACTGGGGAGAGGGCTAGATGCCATCCAGTTTTCTCCAGAGACACATGCTCCCCTTAGTAGGAATTACAAAGAAGGGCAGGTCTCGCATGGTGAAACCTCAGTGTTGGCAGGAGAGCTGGCCTGGTTAGACTAAGCCAAGTTTCTCCTTGAATTTACACAAGAACTGCCTGGCTGTTGACACTGTTCTCTTTGGGGTGTAAGACCAATGCCCAGCCTCGGCCACAGCTGCCAAAGGAAGCCCAGAGGAGCCCATGGCTGCGTGGACTTGCTGTCCCTGCGGTCAGAAGTAAGCACACCTGCTGACGAGAGCAGAAGAGGCTCGGCAGTGAGTGTCATTCCGAAGAGAAAAGTTTATTTTTCTTCTTAATTGTTGGAGATGTCCCAATGGCAATATTTTTGCTCTGGTTATTGAGATCATCTTGTTCTTAAGAAAAAGGGACTCCTCTGCTTTGTCCTTTCCAGGAGACTACCAAGTGTTTATTATGAGCGGCACTACCTTAATTTCTCGGGGACTTGGGTTGTTTTATTTTTGCAAATTTCTTATTTTAGAAGTAAGGTTCCTACACTTCTTACAAGAAAGAGCTACTGTTTTTTTTTTTTTTTTTAATCCTCACCCAAGGACATGCTAATTAATTTTAGAGAGAGGGGAGGGTGGGGGTGAGAGAGGAAGAGAAACATCCATGCAAGAGAGAAACATCGATCGGCTGCCTCTCACATGTGCCCTGACTGAGGATCAAACCCGCAACCTAAGTATGTGCTCTGACCAGGAATTGAACCATAACCTTTGGGTTTACAGGATGGTGCTCCAACCAACTGAGCCAGAACAGCCAGGGCAAGAGCTACTATTAAGAAATGTCTAAGATAGCTTTGAGGCCAGTAGAATTGGGTGGCCAGGGATGGGCATTCTTTGAAACCGGGGACTTTGCGTCCACAGCACCAAGAGCAGGACTTGGCACCTGGATTGAGTTTAACAATGGAATATGTGAGTGAGTGAAGATTCCTTGGTAGAAGGTGTGAGGGGGAGGTCACAAGGTTCGGTGATCGCTTACATAGACAGTCACTCACACATTGGTTGTTGACCAGCTGTGGGTTTGAAAACACAATACAGAAGACGAGGGCCTGGGAGTGCCTTCTACAATGTACATGGTTGCGCTGGGTAGACGGTCTCTCCATTTTCCCATTTAACACCCACTGTAACTCCCCCAGGTCTGCACCCAGTCACACCAGCTGGGACACGCCACTGCAGCGCACAGCTATAGGAACCATTCCTGGCTACCTGTTTCCTGTCCTGTAATAACCCTTCCTTACTGGCTAGCATTGTCTTTTGAAAGCCAGCTGGAACTACCATAAATTAAGTAAAAAGACAAGTGACAAGTCGGGAACATATTTGCAACTTATATCACAGAGCGAGGACTCATTTCTCTATGTACCAAGAGCCACTGCAAAGCAGTAATAGAAGTCTAAGATCTAATAAAAATGGGCAAATGATACGACCTGATAATACAAAGCAAATGTGGATGAAGTCAGCACATAAAAAGATGTTCTACTTTTCTCATGAGCTGAGAATTGCAAAATAAAACCACACTGAAAACCATTTTTTTTAACCTATAATATTGGCAAGAGATCACAAAGTGTGAGAACTCAGTGCACCGATGAAGCTGTGGGACAACAGATACTCTCAAACATTTCACATGAGAATGTAAATTGTAACAACCTTTATAGAGGGTAACTGCAATATTTATCAAAATTACCAGAGCACATACTCTCCTGCCCAGCAATTCCATGACTTTGGATTTATCCAACAGATACACTTCTATATCAGGAAACGAGGGAGATACAAAGTTAGTGATTAGTTTTATTTATAATAGCAAAAGATTAGGAGCCACCTAAACATTTATCAGCAGGGCACAGGTTAAAACAAATACTGGGATATCTGTTGGCTGGAACAGGGGTTGGCAACTTTTTCTGTGAAGGGCCAGAGAGTGAACATTTTAGGCCTAGCAGACCACATGGTGTCTGACGCAGCTCTTCTTGCTTTGATGGTGTGCAAATGCAGCCACAGACAATATGGAAATGAATAAGGGTGGAATAAAGTTTCCAATAAAACTTTATTTGCAAAAAAACACCAGGTAGGCGGGTTTGGCTTGCAGGCCAGTTTGCTGTGTTCTATGGTGCAATACTGTGCAGCTAAAAAGCAGTATGCTCTGAATACTACTATTTAGGTAAAAAGACAGAGAGCAGGTACTTGTATACCTATGTCCTTGAAAGGACACATAAGAAAAGTATAGCATTGATTGACGCCACCATGGAAAAGAACTGGGGGCCCGAGACATGGGTGGATGACGCTTGTTGCTGTTTATCATATTGTACATTTCGAATTGTGAACCAAGTTAAGGTGCTACGTATTTAAAATGTGAAATGAAATCAAAGTGAACAAAAAAAGAAATCAAAGCAAGCTGGGGCCCTTTTGCCAAGTTCATTCTGTGACAAACTATGATGTGTAGAGAAGTTACTCTGCAACGCTGGCTTATTTCACTGAAGCGCCTCTCGGGCTTAGCTCATCAAGTCGCAGGGACCCCCGGATTACAGATGACCTCAGGGGTTCCGCTCTCTCTCTTCTCCTCGAAAGGCGCCCTCCCCGTTGGCTATCATGGCACCATCGCAGGTGGCCACCTTGTAGTCTAGAGCCGGAGAAAAGCAGAGCAAAGGCGTAGACACAGCAGCCCATGTAAAACGTTTGCCCTGGCAGGGCTGATATTTCTGTGTGAACGTGGCTGAACTGGGCCCATGTTGTCCAAGGTTCCTCGTGGGTAAATCTAGACCTGTGCTGTCCAATATGGTGGCCACTAGCCACATGTCATTTTCTAAATGAAAAATTAGTACAAAATAAGTGAAATTAAAAAATTCAGTTGTATCAAAAACCACACGTGGCCAGCAGCTACTTTGCTGGATCGCTGCACAGGTTGTAGACCATTTCCATTACTGTAGAAATGTCTGTCAGAGGACACGACTCTGGTCCCCCTCTAATGTCTCTTCCGGCTCAAAGACTGCCTGGTGTCAATAACCAGAGACCTCACAATTCATCTCAGTCTATTCCCCCCTCTTCATTCTTAGTCATCCTGATTATTTTTAAGGCATGATGGTTATAGCACAGAAAAAGTTCCTGACCACAAATGCCCTAAACTGATCTGAGGCAAGTGCTGACCTGCGGCAGAGCAGATAGCAGTGGTGTTACGGAGCTCCCAGCCCTGAGGGACGGGGAAAAGGGGGCCGAGTTCTCTCTCATCGGTGCCTCACACCACTTGGGCCCGTGTTGGTAATCGGATAAGCATTTGGTTATTTTACACAGCATCCAGCTGCTGTGAATGAGGGACAGAGATGAGGTTTCTGGGAATGAAGGTGCAGCGCTCTTCCCAGGGAAGGAAGACTCCAGAAGGAGATTAAGGTGGCAAAACAGAGCTTTCCTTGCTGGGAGCTGACTGCAGGCCAGGCTTAGGGGAAGAGAGCCAAGGTATCTCAGTGATACAGAGAGATCTGATCAGATCACTGGGGCGGGGAAGGGAGTGGTTGTAGGAGGAGGTTGCCCAAGGCAACAGTAAACAGTCTAGGAGGGACTGGCTGAGAAGCTGAATGCCTCTGGAGTGCGTGAAATTATGGGCCAGCAGATTTAAAATGAAAGGAGAGTAGAGACAGGCTCTTGGGCTCTCCTCCTCGAGGATGCCTGGATGATGATGCTGCAGCTGCCTGCGCTTCCCAAAGGCTGGCAGAAGGAACTCCCGGCACAGCCTGGGGTCGGGCTGGCCTGGCAGAGGGTGGCAGGGTTATTTTTCTTTGGGTGTTCTAGAGGGGACCAGCTCTGAGGCAGAAGCCTGCCATTCTTCCAAAATTGTGTAGCTTTTGTATCTTATGTTGTTTTAGTTTGTAAACTAACCCTACGGAGATAAGATAATTAAAAACTAATAGGGGGATCGCCAGCTTATGTGTCTCTGTGGATTGAGCACTGGCCTGCAAACCTAAAGGTCGCCAGTTTGATTCCCAGTGACGGCACATGCTTGGGTTGCGGGTCAGGTCCCCAGTTCGGGGCGTGAGAGGCAAGCAATCAATGTTTCTCTCTCTTTCTTCCTCACTTCCCTTCTCTCTGAAAATAAATAAATAAAATCTTAAAAAAAAAAAAACACCAAAAAAAAAAAAACTAACCGGGGAATGATAGAAGAACTCAGGTGTTAAAGAGTTTAGCCTTAATTGATAAGCTTAAGTGACTGATGCACATGGAAAGCTGTTATTCCAAAATTATGTAGCTTTTGAATAAAGACTCCTTTTCTTTATCACCAAAGCTTTGTCTCCTAAATTTTGCCTAGAGGGTGGCAGCAGGCAGCAGGACCCCTCTTGCTGTTTGGCAACATCTGTGTCTAGGCTGAGCAACTGGACAGGAAGAGAGGACGGGGGCTCCCTTGGCAGGCTGGAGGCGGTGCTGCCTGCCCGGCAGAGGAGGCGAGCTGGCCGGGGGTGGGAGGGGTGCAGTCTAACTTCTCAGCTGCAGTTCTGGTGACCTGATGTGATGGGCAGGAATCTGAGATGATCTCTCTTATTTCTGCCTCCAGGTGCTATGCCTGTGATTAGGTCACATTATGTGACAGGGATTAGGGGATTTTGCCTATGTAATTGAGGTCCCAAATTGGTTAGAGGTGATCAAAAAGGAGAGGGTATCCCGGGTAGGGCTGACTTGATAGGTTGAAAGCTTTGAAAGGGTGGAGCTTTTCTGCTGGCCTTGGAGGAACGCACAGCCGTGGAAACTTCTCAGCACGTGACTAGGAAACAGGTGAATAAGAGCAGTTTTGCTGTGTTCCCCAAAGGGGCCTCCTAAAGGTCTGTGGGTTGCAGACTGGGGAATATGTTCCATGCTAGCCAGGGGGTCTGGAGAGTGGTCTGGCAGGTGCCTCTAAGCCTCCCGAAGCACCCCTAAATACCCTGAGTTGGGTAACCACACAAAAAGAAAAGGAAGGGCCAGATGTTAAGACCCTCCAGAAATTCTCGGGACCAGTCTGATCCTCCCAAACACTGACTCATACAACTCGAGATGCTCTAAACACTAGGCCACTGAGGTTCCTGATGTATACCACACCGTGGCTGGAGAGAGCCTAGCCAGCGCCTCTTTATAAGCTTTTAATGATTAGAGGCGAATAAGATTTTTGGAAAACAGTATGGAGATTCCTCAAAAAATTAAGACAACAACTACCATATCCTCCAGGTATTTTACATCTGGATATTTACCTGAAGAAAATATTAAATCAAAAAGATGTGTGCACCCTCATGTTCATTGCAGCATGATTTACAATAGCCAAGATATGAAAGCAACCTAAGAGTCCATCTATGGATGGATCGATATAGAATGGAATATTAATCAGCCCCAGAAAAGAATGAAGTCTCGCCATTTGCAAGAACATGGGTGGAGCCTGAGGGCATCGCGCTAAGTGAAGTAAGTCAGACAGAGAAAGATAAGTACCCCAGGATTTCATTTATATGTGGAATCTTCAAAAAAAAAACCCAAACAGACCAGAAAACCCAGCCAACCAAACAAAACCAATCTCAAAGATACAGAAAGCAAGGCAGCAGCTATGTGAAGGAAAGAGGGTCTGGGGGTGGGCGATATGGGTGAGGAGGTCCATTGTGCAGTGATGGATGGTGACTGGACTTTGGCGGGTGACCTCTGTGTGCAGATGTTGAATTTGAATATTGTATACCTGAAGCTTAAACAATGGTATATACCACCTTTACCTCAATTAAAAAAAATGAAAGATGACTTGGCAGGTAAGCGGTAGGAGATGCTGAGGGCATCCACGTTTACCCCCAGGGCTTACCCTGTTAGTTTCCCCCGGCTCCCTTTGCACAGCCAGGTTCCGTACCTCTGCCCGAGAGCTCTCTCCTTCTCTGAAGACTGTGAAAGGCCCCGCTGCTAGCAGGTGGCAGAGGACTGATGGGTGGTGGCATTGTCACCCCAGCTTCCTTGCCTCCCCCTCTTTTGCATTCTGTGCTGTTCCCCAGGATCGCCGTGGGGCTTGTTCCAGTCTCTCACAGGGGTAGCTCACGGAGAACATATTCTTTGTTGGTTCCCTCCTCGCTTCTCCTCTCCTGGTGCTTTGGTATTTTCCCCTCAACTTCTACATAAACCACCTCCACTTCCACATTTGTCTCAGGATCATTTTCTAGGGGAACCTGAACAAAGACATGAAATCATCATGCCAATTAATTCTCAGCCTCCCCGGCTGAAAGGTAAGTAAGTACATGTTTGTGTTCTCTCTGCAAAAGGTTTCAAAAGCAGTGCGTGCTCGGCCACTTCACATTCATGCTTTGCCGCCAAGAAACCGACAAGAAGTGCTGAGGATGGGCTAATGCCGGCCCCCGAGGGCATGGCTGCAGCTGACAAAACTATTTGTTGGAGGACTTCTGGCTGTCAGCTCTGATCTCTGTTGACGATCAGAAGGATCCACTCATTCTGCAAATATTTTCTGAGCTCTGCCTCTCCGCAAGAGGCCCACGCAGCACCGGCCAAACTTAAACAAGTGCTGCCTGTTTTCCCTGAGATGTAGCTTTCAGAGTACTCTGTTAAAAAGACGCTAATGAATTTGTTCAGAATTAATGTTTGAATTACTGGTGGGCTGGTGATGATTCTCAGGAGGTTGAGGGGTGAATAATAATGGCCAGTTTTTTCCTTTACATTATGCAGGATATATTCCTATTGATGACAATGCCCTTCCCCCCTTTCTCAAGCTATAATCACTACAGTGTGGGGTACACCCCAGGGGTGTTGGGACAGATGCAAGGTTGCAAATAGCTTTGAGGACAGAGCCAAGGAGAAAGGACAGCCCCAAACAGAAAAGTCCCTGGACTGAGAGGCAGGAGAGCTAAAAATGATGGTCACACACACGCCAGCTGTGTGACCACGGCTCCGCCTGGGTCTCCGCTGTCTCACCTCTAAAGTGAGGGAATGGAGACAGATGGTTTCCAACGTCCTTAATTATAAACATTCATGGCTCTCCTAAAAAAAGAAGTAATGGACCAAAATCAAATCTACGGTATGGTTTCATTCTCTGTGTTAGTACACCACTCACCGGGTTAGGGTGGGGCGGGGAGAGGCTGCATTTTGTGATGTTATTAGGCACTATTTGCCATAAAAAGTTTTTGTTGTGACCTGGTTCAAAGAACTGAAGGTCAGAAAGAAGAGAATCTGTTGAAAAGGGGTAGGGTGTGGGAAAACAGGGGGGCGAAACTTGTTTTCTGGGCTGGAGAACCTTGGGGGCTCCAGCGTTGGTACAGACCCTCCCAGGAGTGTTCCTGTTGGTCCTTGGGGGGCAGCGGAGTGAAGCGGACGGGGAGAAGAGAGCAAAGAAAAGGTCCTCTTGGTTTTCTTTTGGTAGCTTTTGGACACTCATGGTTCTCAACCCTGGCTGTGCATTAGAATCATCAGAGAACTGAGAAAACCACAAAGTCCCCCTCCTCCTTCTGACTTAATTGGCCTTGGATGGGGCCTGGGCTTGGGCACTTTTGAAAATGCTCTGAATTAACTCTGCTGTGCGGCCAGGATTGAGAACCACTCAGTGGCGACCGAGGACGCAGGAGTAGCCTTCTTACCTTGACTCAAATAGCTACCTTAGTTTTCACACTTTCTTCATGCTTTGTTTCCCCGTCTGCCTCGAAATCCCAGTCATACATGGGTGGGGGATGGAGAAGGGAAGAAACCCTATGCGTTCTACTTCTGACTAATTCCTTTATTATTTATGAAGTTTAATAAAAGTCATTTTCTTCCATGAATAAGAGTCATACTACTTAAGAAGTACTCAAAACAAGAAAAACATTTCAAAGTGTTAAATAGGTCCATCACTGCAAGACAAGCACGGCTAATACCATGTGTTTTAGTGTTTTCTTTCTAATCTCTTCTGGATGCTTAGTTCCGTTGTTTGAATGCTTTCTCCTACTGTGTACACCGGGGGCTGGCAAACTGCAGCCCGCAGGCCAAATCCAGCCCATCTCCTGTTTCTGTAAATAAAGTTTTATTGGCGCACAGCCACAGTCATTTCTTACCTATTGTCTACAGCAGCTTCCACATGACAGCGGCCGAGTTGAATATTGCAACAGAGACCGTGTGGCCCAGAAACCTCAATATCTTGTCCTTCACAGAAAAAGTTTGCTGGCCCTGGTAGATAGAACTCTGTACTCTCTTCCCCACAACGCCATTTTACCTTGCTGCATGAGCATTTTCCCATGTTGTTACAAATGCGTTGCGAATATCATTTCTAGTAAGTGCCTGGTGTGTCATTGCATGGTTAGTCTTTATCCTATTGTTAAACATATTATGTGTTTTTCCCCCAAACTTTTTCATTCTCATAATGAATACATCAGTGAGTATATTTGGATGTAAACTTTACTTGTGTTCTTTTTAAGAATCTAATTTTTTATTGATTGCTTTGAGAGAGAGAGGGGAAGGGAGGAAGGGAGAGGAAGAGATGGGGAGGGGGCGGGGGGAGAGAGAGAGACATCGATTTGTGGTTCCACTTATCGTGCATTCATTGGTTGATTCTTATATGTGCTCTGCCTGGGGATCGAACCCACAACCTTGGCATATGCTAAGGATGATGCTCTAACCAACTGAGCTACCTGGCCAGGGTTTTACTTGTACTTTCTATGATTTCTTTAGGACAGTGTCCAGATTATTCAACTGGTAGGTAGGGTCATTTTAAGACTCTTGACACATACCACTAAATTCCTTACAGAAAGGGGTCATAGTAGTGTTCCCCGATAATATAGGTGAAAACCTTTTCCACATACTTGCCAGCATTATTATTACTATTACCATTTTAAACTTTTCCTGCTTTTAGACAGGTAAACAAAAACTATTATTTCAACACACAATTCATTCCCATCTAATGAGATTGAAGCAGCTGCCTTTCTTCCTTTGCATGTCGACCGCTCTCCATCTTTGCTTGGCCTCCGCCTGCGCAGGGCAGGGCAGAGGGTGCGGGGCCTACCTCTCACCTTGGCTTGGAGTGAGGCTCCTGCTCGCATCCGGCTCTTTTCAACATCTCTCTCCCAGTAAATTCTGATCATCTCAAGGATGTCATCCAGACCGGTGCCCATGGGGACATCTATTTGTTCCAGCTCAGATACCGCTAACTGCTTATACAGCACTTTCACATCCTGAAAATGACAACACGTGCCGCCGGTGGGTTCCACGGGGGAAAGAAGGGACGTGGAATTCCAGTCAGCAGAAGCCCAGCTCTGTGGGCAAACACTTAGTTTGCTACAGACAGACATGGGGTTTTGCAGACACTGACCAGGTCCCCGATTCTCTTCCCAGCACAGGGACCGTATTCTCTTTTCCCAGGATGCATTTCTCAGCTGGCCTTCACTAGCGCAGGCCCAAAGCAAAAATCCAAATAACTCACTAAGTACCAACACAGAGGAAGCAGCGCAGCAAGATGACACTTATGAATTTCATAAAGTCAGAGTAGGCTGAAAGATTTAAAGATAACTTGGGAGGCTCTTACCATTGCAGCGTGGTGAAGAACTACAGAGCCAAGAGCAGGAGGATGGGGGCGGATTGGTTCCTGGTTTGCTGAAGGTTGGTCAAAAGAAGGAGTTTCCTGGCATCAGCATTGTTAAGTGGGTTTTTACTTTTCCAACCACAGGCTCTTTAGGCCTCAGATCAGACAGTGGCATGTGGCAGGTGGTTTAGAAGCAGTGACGTTTTGTAGGGGACTGGACCACACGGTCGTGGGAGGGCCTCTCTGTCCTGCCACTCAATGTTCTGACCTAATTCCATTAATGAGTGTGTGCAAACCACAGCCTTGATCAGAGTTGCTCTGTTTGTCCTCTAGTGTGCTGAAAACAAAGGTCTGAACTTGAATGCCTTCAGGGATGGGAGGCTCCCTCCCACGGAACACACAATTGTTTGGACCCGCTGCCTCTCCCGGTTCTCATAGCAGCCTGGTTCTGAAGCCCTCTGAGTGGGAGACACCTGGGCTAACCTGACCCACGACAGGTTCTGAAGGTGCCTTACCAGCATCTCCCCTGCAGCCCTGGGCAAGTGGCGTGGAGTGAGGAGCCCCTCACCTATGGTTCGAAGCTCAGCCAGACAGGAGAGTATCTCTGGCGTTGTAACCGCGCAGTGTCGCCCCAGCTTCAACCTACCTCTTCATAGCTCCTTGACAGAAAGCCAAGTTCTTCTTTCAGGCTTTCTATTTGACTTTCCAGATCCATTTTTGTCAAATTAGCTTCATCGATGACTTTATATAGAGAGTTAATTTCTTCTTCCGCTGCCTTTCGAAACGGCTGCTCATTTTCATATCTGCAGATAAAAGAACTTATTCAGCATAGCCAGGCAACCCAAAAGACAAAATAGTCTGATTGTAAGTGTTGCCAACAGGCCAATTACGTGCTAGTTAGACAATGAGTGTTAAATGTCACTTTTCTAGCAGCTTTGAGAGCACGGTTAATGTAATTGTTACATGTCGATTTGTTAAAGTGAGAACAATTGCTGCCAACTGGGCTACCCTGGTTTAGCGGGGTGCCAGCCCCACGGGGCCCTGGCAGCCCGGAGCTCTAGGGGAGCTTCTCCAGGAGTTCGAGGATGCACATCGTCATCATTGCTCTGATTTGTTATCCTTCTCAACTGAGGGCCCTTTAGCAAATATTTCTGAGAATCTGCCAAGTACCAGACTACGTGCCTATGACCCCAAAATGAAGAATGTGGTTTCTATCTCCAAAGATCTCACGTAGTATTTCAGGACCATGGCTGCCAACCCAAAGGCTTCTAGGGGCCAAGGGGTCAATGTAGGTGAGGGAGGAGGGCTAGGCCAGCAGAGAGGGGTGGGGACTGAAGCACAAGCAGCAGCTTTTATATACTTTGCCTAACAGGGTGCTGCTGCTCAGCGCCTCCCCTTTACCGCCTTGTGGGAAGCATATGGCAGTTCAAGAGGAATGAGAAAGCTGGGTTTACATGTGAAATAGCCAGAGTTTCAAAAACTTACAACATACGCAATAACACAAATGCTCATGCACGTGCATACACATTGACTCAAGTCCGAAACTACCCACTCTGAGTTCCCTCATTTTCTGGTTTACATGAGCTTTCTTTCTAAAAACGACCCCACATCTTTGCTGCTTCCTCCCCACATCGTTCCTTTCCTGCCATGGCCTTCCATCCAGCTGTACCACGCAGCCAGATTTCACAGCGTACCTCGGTCCCCTCACAGAAGGGAGACTGCACGCCTCTCACTCCAGGAAGCCTCTGCCTCGTAGGGCCTTAGAATTTTAAAGAGACTTTGGCATTCCGCTATTGAGACCCCTACCCAGTGACAGTCCCCTGATAGCATTCTTGATAAGTGATCATGCAGCCTCTGCTCGAATATTCCCAGTGACAGGGAACGCATCATCACGCAAGGCCACCATTCCATTTTTGGGCAGCTCTAATTATTGCAGGTTTATTCCCTCCGAGAGCTTAAATCTCCATTCTTGTAAGAATCTGAGTTCCACCCATTGGAATACCCACAGTCAGCCTCCTGCTTCCTTCTGGCAGCTCTACAAATGTTTAAAGGCTGTCACTCTGCCACTCCCTGATTTCCCCCTCCCCACCTCCCCGCCCCAAGCCTTTAGCTCCTTAAGTTATACATTCTCGTTTCCTCCCTCCATTCTTGATGTAAATTGGTTTCCACATTCCTCTTTATCCAGGGCAGGGACTGTGGCCTTTCCACCTTTGTATTCTCAGCACCCTGCTCCAGGCTTCCGATACATTTATGGAATGATTATAAAGGCTCTAATTGGTCTTATGTCCTTAAAATGTGACACAGAATGCAAAACTCCAGATGTTGCCTGATCCGTTCGGAGTCCTGAGAGACTGTCTGCTTCTTTGGTTAAGCCCTTTCACGCTCTTCCTCATGGACTCTAAGATTTGCTTTGTGGGTTTTTGTTTGTTTATGTGTTTGTTCATTTGATTTCGACCAGCTGTATTTGCTGCTGACTAATATCGGGTCTCCTGTCAACTAGAACCCCCAGGCATTTTTCACAAGAGCTGCTTGAAGCCTAATTTCCCTGTCCTCCCTCGGTGCACCTGGTCTCTGAGCCCAAGTAGAAGTTTGTATTTATCCTCTTTGTTTCATTGACCCATTGTTCCAATGTGTTGGGACAGTTTTGAATCCTGATTCTGTCTTTCCCCACTTCACCACCCCCTGGGTTTGTATATTTTGCCGTTTTGCCCCATTTGCGTTCATATACCTTGCAGAGCAAAATAGTAATTGAAAGAATTAAGGACAGAGCCCATGGCATTCCACCAGACACTTCCCTCAGACTTGGGGCCACACCTTTGAATCAGCACCTGGGACATGGTTTCTGAAGCGTTTTTCTGTGCTCTATATGCCGGATCAACTTTTCTACCCCAACACGCTCTTTATGAAGGATTGTATGCTCAGTAGCATTTAGTCCTTTTGGAAACAAGTCCTGTCCTCCCAGCTGAAATGAAAACCCACCCACATGACTGGGCTTGGTCTCTGGAAGAGTCCACCTGGGACCCCTGGAGTCATGTGTGCTCATCTCTCGAGGGAGCCTGGACCCTCTGGGATATGGTCCATTCCCACATTGGAAGGTCTTAAGTGTCCCACTGACTTTTTTTTAAGTCTTCTAAAGCAGTGATTTTCAACTGTGTGCCACAGGAATTTTTAAAATGTGCAATACCTGTCTATTTAGTCAAGGGTACTGACCTCTTTTGCCTTGGATTGTCAAATAAAAAATGACAACAGCCAGCACAACAATGGCCATCTGGTGTGAATGAATCAAAATTATACCTATCATTTTTTATCAGATTGGCAAAAAATACAATATAGTTTTTGGTGTGCCACAGAGTTTTAGTATTTAGTTTATGTGCACCACGAGATGAGAAAGGCTGAAAATCGCTGCTCTAAGGATTTGAAATGTATCTGTGATACCCCCCAAGGCTGCGCATAAGCTTTTTGCTCTCTCTTGCTACACTGTCCCCGCTTCCCCTCCATTCTGTCATTTAGCATCTCTGTGCTCATGACACCCAGGTTGTCTCCTCTTAATCTAGAGGCTACTGGCCCCACATCTTCTGCAGCATCCCATAATTTCTGCTTGGTTTCTCCATTATCAGCTGAACTCTTCTTGCTCAAAACTAAAGTCATTATCTGTTCCTGACTTTAATTTTTTTAAAATATTTTTTAAAGGCTTTATTTATTTTTTAAAAAAAGAATGGAAGGGAGGGGGAGAGAGAGAGAGAGAAACATTGACAGAAACATCGAGAGAAACACGCCCCATCTGGGGATCTGGCCCCCCGGGCATGTGCCCTCATGGGGAACTGAACCGGGGACCTTTCTGTTCACAGGCTGACATTCAATCCACTGAGCCACATCAGCCAGGGCTGTCCCTGAATTTTAGACAAGCTCTCTCTCCGCAGTTTTTTGTTTCACTTCTTTGTGTTTTTGTCATCTTGGCTAGCACGGTTCAGTCCCCTTGACTCAAGAGTGGCCACCAATGGAGACACTTGTAGCACATGGAGAAGCTTGGTCTTTGAGAAAGGAAGGGAGTTAGGGTCTGAGGAGATGGTAGAGATTCTCCTTTTCATCACCTGATCTTCTTATGCTAAGATAAGAAAGACAGGGCAGGGGCGGGGGCGGGGGGGGCCGGGAGGGGCTGCAGGGGAACATGGTCTTTCCCTAAGACTCTCAACTCTATGCCTGTTCTCTCAGTCTTTACCAATTTAGGAGAATGTTCCCTTGAATAACAATCCAATCCAACTGCCCTACGTCCAGGACACCTGCCCCACAGAATCTTCTCAAAATCACTGTGTTCGTCCAGAAAACGGTCTTCCTCATTTTGCTTCTCCATTAGACCCAGTATTTCCCAGTCCTCATTGACCTTCGTGATTTTGGCCTAAATGCATATTCCTGGATCATTATTTACTTAATTTTTTCCTTAGATTTACCTACTGAAAAAGTAAACCTTAAATCAATACACCTGAAAAGCTCTTGATATTAAATAAACTTTAAATTGCTACTATAAACGGTAGTACTATAGTGGTAAAACAGTTTCATGGGCCATAAATAGAAGGTAACTACAAAAATAAATACACCACTATTAAAAATAAAATGCTTATCCTTATACAACTTAAAATAATCTTCACCAGCAATACATACACTGACTTTATTCTTGTATACACACACACACACACACACACACACACACACACAAACACACGGCAATATATTTTAGGAAACAGTGTATTAGACTTCAAAGGGATGCTTCTCAAGGCTGGTGAGCTTTAAAAATATGGAGGCCAGAGCCCCACCCCCAGGCACTCTGGTTTAATTCGTCCGTGGGGCTTGCACACTGGCATTTTTAGTGCCCAGGTAATTCTAACACGCAGCTGCCCGTGAGAAGCATTACTCTAAACCAGCAATTCTCAAGATGTGCTCCCAGGACCCGCGGGATCAGCATCATTGGGATCGTGCAGGAAACATACATTTTGGATCGCCCTCCAGACCTATTGAATCGAAAACCCTGAGGGTGGGGCGCAGCAATCTGTGTTTTCGATGAGCTTCTCAGGTGATTCTGAACCACACTAGATTTCGAGAACCCCTGCTCTAACCCACCCGACACCAGGCAAGATCTTAGCCCTTGGGGCTTAGCTTATGTCTGCAAGGAGGGTTTGGGCCTGCCTGTCATGGCTTTGGATTCTCCTGGGGACCCTGTGTCCCACCCCAGGCTTCCATGCGGCTGGAGGTGAATGCAGGAGTCTCCAGGCAGCATGACCCGAGTCACCCAAGAGTCGGGAGGTATGGGCGACTGTCCCCTCTGCAGCAGAGCGTTACCTTTCTTTGAAGTCGTCCACACCTGCCTGGACATTCTCTGTCTGCAGCATGAGCCGAGCGTTTTCCAGCACTGCCTCGCCCACCTGGAACAGTCATACACAGCAAGGGACACAGGGTCACTGGCATGTCTTTCCTTTTTCCCACCGTGACTCGTGCTGGGCACAGAGGCTCTGGGGCACTTTGGGAACTTTAAGTGTCCTTCTCTAAAAGGGGGAAGGAAATCTATAATAAAGCACAGGACCTGGATGTTTTAAAAGAGTTTTTGGAGTTGGAATTTTGAAGTAAAAAGAATCTTCAGAGGCAGATGTGTTCATAGCCTCCGTCACATTGATGAGCTTTGGACCTCTGGAGAAGCTTCTGGCTCCTTAGATGAAGTTTCACTGGCTTGACTTAGTGGCTTCTAACATTTTCTGGTCATGGGTGCCTTTGAAAAGCTGCTGAAACCATGGACTCTCTACATCAGTGCTGTCCAACAGAACCTTCTGTGATGGTGCCTGGTCTCTACCTGTGCTGTCCAACATAGTAGCCTCATGCGGCTACTCAACACTCCGTTGAGACAAGGGTTGCCAGATGGAAGGAGGGCTGGGGAAATGGGCGAGAAAGGGGAAGGGATTAAGAAGTACAAATTGGTAGTTACGAAATAGTCCAGGGGGTGTAAAGCACAGAATAGGAATATAGTCGGTAATATTGTAATGGTGTCAGGCGCGTACTAGATTTATCACAATGATTACTTTGTAAGTTACATAAACGTCTAACCACTCCTCCTGAAACATAATAGTGTATGTCAACCATCATTGGAAAATAAAAAATATTTTAAATTATTTTAAAAAGACTATACAAAATAAGAAAATAGAGTAAATATTGTTGAATGCAGTTCATCCGAAAGGCTCTGGCTGCATGAGGCCTCCCCGAGGACTGGCTTTGGCGGCGGAGGCTGAGCGCGCTCTTCCCGCTCCCCGAGACGCTGCAGCCCCATAGTCAGAAAACCTTCTAGTCTCAGACTCTCAGCCCTGCCGTTTTGCAGGTGACGAATTTGAAGTCTGAGGTGATCACCCTGCTCAATTTCTCACAGTGATGCCGATGACAAATATTCCAATGCAGCACGGACCACGAGCCATAGCAACCTGTACGCTCAAAAAGAACCACGGCGAAGGGGCCTCCCAGTGCGCTGGGCGAGGCGGCCATGCAGCGCGGGCGCTGCCGCTGTGGGCCTGGAGCTTACAGAATTTCCGAGACTGCCTTTAACAAGGGGGATGAAAAACAACTAACATAAAGGGGTGTCTGTGGCGAGCAAGGGGCCCTGAAGCTTAATCTCCTCATTTGGTACAACTTTGTTTTATTTGTTTCTGCTTTTTAAACTTGGGATCTAGGGGATGGACAGAAAAAAGAAAGAAAAAAGAAGACAAAACTCGGTGTGTGGTGGTGGTGGGAAATATGTGTATCATATTTAGAGTCATACAGTTCTGGAAAAGCAGAAAGATGGCTGGAAAGGCATTCACCCCAAGTCCCATCCAGTGAGAACACCGCCAGCACTTGGATGCACTTGCTTTTACTTTTAGCTTTGCGTGAATTTGTAACGTTTCCCCAGTTGATTGCAGACCCTATAAATAAGAGGCTGCCAAGCAATCATGGAGTCGGGTAGGACGAGCAGACGCTGAAGGTGAGGCGAGGTGAGCAGCTGGCTGCTCGGCGCCTTTGCTCCTCTGTGCTCACTTAGGGTTGAGGAGAGGAGAGGTTTCTGAGATCATTTGGACGCTGCTCTGCAGGCAGGGCACTTCTGTCCAAATGCGTGTCCTGGGCGGCTCGTGCAGCCCCAGGCTTGGGGAAGCTGGAGGCCTCCCTGCTTTGCTGTTGTTGAGTAACAACCAGGGGTTTATTCAAGCCTCAAGTGGAGGCTAATTATAGGCCCTGACTTGCCAAAGTGCAGTTGGCTGGCTGGGCTTCCCCATCTCCTTCACTGATGAGAGCCTGAAATAACCCGCCAGTCCACCGCGCAGCCACAGAGAGCCCTTCATGGTTCCCCTGCCGGAGCCCAGCCCAGCAGAGGCCGCGTCCTCTCTGGTGTTAGCGGTGGCTCAGCTGTCCCAGCTCTGGGAAGGGCCAGTCAGGCAGCATGACGAGGGCTGAACCTTGGCTGAGGTTTAGCGTAGGGTGAGGACTGGGGTGGGGGCCAAGGCCAAAAGCAAAACTTGGAGCCTGCAGTGGAACAGCAAACATCTTTATTTCTACCTGAGAAAGCTTCATGAAAGACTCCCTGGGGCTGAGGACAGGCAAGGAAGAGGAAAGGGATGTCGTACTGACGGACCACCTGCAGCTGAGCCCGGCCCCTGTGCTGGAACTGGCTGGTACTGGCTTGTGAGAGGACGTATTAACTATTCCAGGAGTTTTTGTGAACTGGGGGTTCAACACAACCATCATGAAAACTTGAATGATGTGAACTTACAATTAAATATGTTATATTAAAAACACAGGTGATAAATACTCAAAATGCAAAGGTCATTAAAAACTCATCGCTTCCTAATTGTTTTATGATGTGTTACTGTCCTTTCAGCTCTTGGGGTTATTTGTTTCTACTGTATCTGTATGGTGGGAACACTAAATAATGGCGTGCTCAACCCCATTCAGTGACAGCAGGTTGTTAGTTTGATATCAGCTATGGTGGGAGTATTTACACTAGGGCAATTGACAAACACCGACTGAGCCCACACTCTATTAAATACTTAACATTCATGATTTCACTAAATGCCCAGGCACCCCTCTGCTGTGGATTATTGACACACCCATTTTACAGATGAAGATGCTGAGGCTCAGGGAGCTTAAGTAAGTTGCCCAAAACCAAGGGCTGGAGGTTGGCAGAGCCAGAATGCCAAACCAGGTCAATGTGAATTGAAAGTGCATATGTCTCTGTATCGGTTTCAGAAACTAAAAGGCACATCAGGATCAAGAGAGGCTACTGTGGAATATTGTTTTCTGTATTTTTCCTGTGACATGGAACAGTCAGGACTCCAGGCTCCTATCTGGCTACATGATAAAGATAAAGAGGTATCTTCCCTATTGAATGCAAATCACACCGAACTGAACCGAACCAAACCAAACCAAACTACGGTGGGCAAGCTTCAGTTTGCACATGATTGTCCTGGGAAGGTTAGCAGAGCACAGCCTTTCCTCCTCCTCCCTCTCCTTCTGCCCAAACATAGAGCGAGAACTACCTTCAAGGAGACATGACTTAAATGCCAGGTCTCCTGTGAAAAACAGACACTGTGACAGCAGCATCAGTGCAAGTTGCTGTGTGCGATGAGGTAGCCTTAGCCTAGCTCCTCAAGCAGCATTTTAAAGGGGTCATCAAAGTCTCACTCAGCGAGAAACAGGAGACTCCTTCAAAGCATAAATGTGACCGAGAAGGAGACCGGCAGGGTTGAGTACCATGAGACCTGGCAGTTGGAGCTCATGGTGGGCTTGGGTTTGGGGAAAGGGCAGGCTGACCACTGGCCTCCTCTGTCAGCTCAGACTGTGCTCGGTGTGGCACGCGGCCCCCTCCATTTATGTCCCTGGAGATGTCCTCCCCGGACCCTCCACGTGGAGGTTCCCTTAGCATGCCCTGTACCAGTAGCTCTCAAAATGCGGTCCCTGTGTTACCAGGGAGCCCCGAGTCAGGGGCGCCCCTCCTTGGTTCTTGCCTTGTTCGCAAGAGAATGCAATCAAGAGACAACACTGAGAGAGGAGATGAGATAGCAAGTTTACTTATGAAATATACTTGAACAAAAGGTTACAGCTGGGCACTCAGCTAATCTGAGCGCCTCATGTACATTGGAAAGCGAAGCTGTGAGTTTGTCTACGTGCTTAAGCAAAAAGCTGCAAGCAGGCACCCAGCTAATCTGAGCGCCCCGACTATCAGCACCCCAGGAGTTATATACTTTGGCCAGCTTCTAGGAACCCTTCCTTCTCCCTCTTCCAGACCGTGGGATCAATATACAGTCACAAAGGTTTTCATTCTCAGCTAGTAAAGGCGTTCTTTCGTAGTTGGTGAAATTGCTACATAGGCTCCCTTCCCCAGCACATAGAACTTCAAGGACTCCCCTTCTGCTGCGCTACCATAGTTTTGCTCGTGATGTTCAGACCACCTGGCAATCTTATCAGACCGGGCTCAGGACTGCTGAGCCAACAGGTGAGACATGTCCCCCTCCCTGCCTCGGTTTACTATCTATCCTGCTTAACACCTGGGACGGCAGTATCAGCACCTCCTCAAAACTTACCAGAGATGCAAATTCTCAGACGCTAACTCACATGTGTGAGGCAGAACCGCCGGAAGTGGGGCCCAACAATCTGTGTTTTAACAAGCTTTCCAGGGGCTTATGAGACACACTGGACTTGGATACCCCTACTTTGCACAGACCTGCCTCTAGTCCTGCTCATGTCACCTCCCAGGGCGCTCCTGGAAGTCCGCCAAGGCCTCGTCTCTGTTGTTGCCTGTATCTAGAACACCTGGTTTTACCACCTCCCACCCATTGCCTTGCCACTTGAGAAACCCAAGCCAACTTTAAAGCTCACTTCACACATGGCTTCCTCTGGGAAGCTTTTTTGTCCATCCACTCACTCATTCTTGCCTTCATTTCTTCAGCACACGTGAGCCAGGCTCTGCAATACTTGGAGGGGCAGTTAGAAAGGGAGGGAAGAAGACCTTGGCTGGGTGGCTCACTTGGTTGGAGCATTGTCCTGTACACCAGAAAGGATGTGGGTTTGATTCCCATCAGGGTACCTACCTAGGTTGTGGGTTCGAGCCCCAGTGAGAGTATGTATGGGAGGCAAAATGATCAATGTTTCTCTTTCACATCAATGTTTCTTTCTCTCTCTCTGCCCCACTTCCCCTCTCTCTGAAATCAATAAATATATCCTCAGGTGAGGATTAAAAAAAAAGAAAAAAGAAAAGGAGGGAAGGCCTTGGAAACAATGGAAAGCCCGTGTGATTTCCTAGGAAGCCACGGAAAGGGTCTGAGCAGGGACAGGTGTGACCCGTGAGGTCCGCGGGTCCTCCCGACCCCCGTGGGGGGCGGGGATTGTGAGATGCAGGAGGCAATGCTGGGGG